GTGGCATGATCTGTTGTAGGGACACCATGTGGAAGCAGTGGTAGGTCACAAAACGGTTCAGTTCCCTTAGATCTAATATGGGTCGAACGCCTCCATCTCTCTTCGGGACTGTGAAGTATCGGGAATAAAATCCCGTCCCTTGGAGGTGTGGTGGTACACGTTCGATGGCACCCTTCTGCAGAAGGACGGACATCTCCTCGAGGAGAGGTGGGGAAGGGGGCGTGGAGACGACGACAGGGGTATTGGGGTTCTGATGGAACTGAATTTTGTAACCTCGGGTCAAGATGGAGAGCACCCACTCGTCCGAGGTGATGCGACGTCAAGCGTGAAGAAATGGAAACGGATGGGTAGGAGCTGACTTGGTGACTGGGAAGTCAAAAACCCTGATTGGAGGGTTTGGACTGTTTGGCGCGGGAAGTTTGTTGCCCGGAACCGAATTTTGGTTTCTGAAAGGCGGATCTTTGGCCTCCCAAAGACGTTCGCGGCCTCCATCGTGTGTCCGGAGACTGATGAGTTAGGGTACGTCTGTGCCAGGACCTTGACCAGGTGCAGGGACGGTATTGTTGTTGTTTTGCAGAGGACGAGACTCCTAGAGCTCGAGAAGTCTTTATGCTTTTATCTAACTCTTGTACAGTAGAATCAGTGGTAGCATTGAAAAGCCCCAGGCCGTCGAAGGGGAGGTCTTACACATAAGACCTAGTATCTAACGGGAGGTCAGTGTTGCAGAGCCAGGAATGTCTTCTGAGAGCTATTGCAGAAGCCATCGTTCGTGAAGATGCTTCGAGGATATGTTTGATAGTGTTGAGCTGTTGTTTTGCCAATACCATGCCTTCTTTTTGGATGACTCTGGCTGCCTGAAGTTTGTCATCTGGGAGGTGGGTTAGAAGTTCTGAGAACTGTTCCCAGAGAGTGTATTGATACCAGTTCATACAGGCCAGGTAGTTAGTGGCCTTGACTCCCAATGCTCCTGTGGAGTAGAAGCGCCTGCTGAAAGCATCTAACTTTTTACCTTCCTTGTCAGAAGGTGCTGAATGCGTTCTCTTGGATTTGGAGGAAGATGTTATCACCATAGAGTTTGGCTGAGGGTGCGAGAAGAGAAATTCGACATCTGACTCTTGGACTCTGTACATGTGGTTCAATCGTCTTGTGGACACAGGAGCAGACGAAGGTTTTAGCCATGGTGACTTTGCTGCCTACAGAAGGACTGAAGACATGGGCAATGTCAAGGTGGACGAGGTATCAAGCTGAACTATATCGTAAACAGCATCTGTTGCCTGCGGATGTTGCTGGACGACAGAGAGACCTAAAGAGTGGGTCATTCTTTTGACTAGATCAGTGTAAGAGGTAAGGTTGTCAGATGGAGATACAGGTAAGTCCTCTGCGACATCCTGGTTGGGAGATGTATGGTCAGGAGAGGTATGAGCCTCAGAAGCCTCTGTATCTGAGTCCTCTTCCATGAAGTCAGAGGAGTCTTGTTGTGGTGTGTGGACCGAAGTGTCCTGTTGAGAAGGTACTGGTTTCGTTTGGACGACAGGAACGACAGGGTTTGGAGTGACCGGAGGATTGAGAGGACGACTTGGTTCCAGAGTATGGTGGGACGGATCGACTACAGGAGGACGCGACAGAGATGCTGAAGGTCTCGACTTGTGGGGGAATCTCGACCTATGAACGGAGTGGGTCAAATAGCGATCCCAATCAGAATAGCCTGCTGGAGTTAACCACGGCATGGATGGTGGATAAGCTCCGTAGAAGTATCTCAACTGTCGTTGATCCCACGACATTGGTGGTGGGGGGTAGGAAGACTCTGGGGGACTTCTAGACCATGGACGTCTGGGAGACTAAGCAGTAGCTTGTCTGTGGGAATTGTCCATGTAATGTTGGTCATCGATATCGACAGATTGAGTGTGCAGACGAGGAGGGTGACGCTGCGTGTCACATGAGGTATATCGGTGCCGGTGTGGATCAATGTCGGGAGCTTCCGATACCGTCGATGTCGATGATGGAGAAGGAGACGGAGAATGCTCTGCATCCATCTGATGACTTAGGAGCTCTACCGTTTCGATGTCGGAGAAAGGAGGCTCCATTTGGTGGTCAGGGGAGTCCAATACATGGATGGTTGGTATCGGTGGAGGGACTAGGGCCTCCGATTTCGATATTGCCATTGGAGCAGGAGGCACTATAGGGGTATCACCCAGTGAAGGCACCGCTTCCTTCTCCTTCTTCGCCGCCTTAAGGGGCTTCGAGGTGCCCTTCTTCGCGGCCTTAAGCATGCCGGAGCTGTCGATGTAGACTGTCTCTCCTCCATCGCTGAGGCAGGAGCAAGGGCCAATTCAAGCAGTGCCACTTTAAAGCACGCAGCACGGTTCTTTCTCGTTTGGTTAGAGAAGCGAGCACAGTGATGACAAGACTCTGGCTTGTGAGACTCTCCAAGGCAAAAAATGCAGAGAGTATGACGGTAGGGAGGAGCAAGTTTGCTACCACAACGCTTGCATCTATTGAAAAATCCCCACTTCTTCTCCATAAAGAAGTGAAGTGGAGGGAACGGTTGAGGGGGGGGGGTAGCCCGAAGGCCTGAGGTAAATTCCCCTCAGAAGAAAATAAAGGTGTTTTTTTTTAAGTTTTTGAAAAACAAACCACTAAAACAGAAAAATAAAGTATGGAAATAATTCCTAAGAGCTGTGAGGCAAAAGTGAACAGCGAACCGATCAGACCGACAAAGAAAGAGGTCTTTCCAATGCGGTGGTAAGAAAGGAACTGGCGGGATGTCCGTGCCCACCCCTCTGGGCATGCGCGGTGGGGTCCCTGCGTATGCCCGAAGGACTGGGTGCGAAAATCTGTTAAAAGAGCTTGCTACAGCACCGATCGATCCAGCGCGTGCGCACTAGATCCCATGGGTGTGAAGCACAGAGACCACGTCGAAGATTGTCAGTTGCCTAATCTCTGGACCCGTACTATGCCTAAATCACTCATGCTTATCCAGTAGTAAGGGGAGGGGCAGCTGTAGATCCCATCACCCCAGGAACATGCAAGTTGGTGAATGTGAAAAGGAAGATGAGGCCAAGAAGTGGAGCCTTTAAGCAGTGGTATGATGAAGAGTGCTCAAGTGCTAGTCCTTTGGCAGGAGGTACTCTATGAAGAATACAAAGGTAGCAGCAGAAATACACAGAAAAAACTTGGAGCTTCACCAGGTAGAGGCCTGCGGTAACTGTGGATCTTTCTAAACTCCCATGTGCACAGACAAGTGGCTTACTTATGTTACATAATAGGCCACGGTTCCCTCTTGAGACTCAAGGTGGATTACACAGTGTAAATCAATACAGTCAACAGGATGGAACATCCAGTTAAGCAATGGAATAGAATTAGGATTGTAGAGATCTGTGCCAAAAATGACATAAACTGTATTAATGTGACCTGTGGAACGATACAATTAGGATAATACCTAGAATTAAACTTTGTTGGTCTTAAAGGTGCCACTAGACTCACAGAATATGCACAGAAACAGATACTATATCCTACACAAGGTATACTTTGCAGTCCTTTTCCATTTAAAGCTGCCAAGCTGTGCTTTCCTTGCAGCCTGTACTATATTTTCTACTAGGAAAAAGGCCTGTTGTGGAAATAAACACACCTCCAGCCTCTCCCATGCTCTGAAGCCCTGACTGCTATGTCACATTGGCTGTCATATGGGGGCCACCTCAGCAGCATATAAGGATACAGAGACCATCATTTTCTCCAGGGGAACTGATCTCTGCCATCTGGAAAGCAGTTGTAATTCTGAGTGATCTTCAGCCCTCACCTGGAGATTGGACACATTTTACCTCAGAACAGCAAACTGTTTAGAATGTTAGAGGCAAAAGCCAATCAAGTCACATATGCAAATGATCTGTGTTCCGAGGCAAAGGCCAATGAGGCTGCATATGCAAATAACCTCTGTGTTCTGACTGGCTATGGGGGGGAGAGGAACAGCAAAATGTTTAGAATGTTGGAGGCAGGACTCAGACAAAGCAGCCAGTGGATAGGGAGACCCTTTGAATGACAGATCAGAGAGTGAACTGATTTTGGAGGTGTGGAATGTTCTAGAGAAGTGCCACCACCATTCGGCTTTTATTTATAAGGGAGTCTGTATCACCGTTAAATTGCATATACCACTTTGAGTTTCAGTGAGAAAAGCCGGCTATATAAGTGAAACAGATAAATCTAAGACGCACAGTTCTCTAATCAAATATCTTTTCACTGAGTTATATTGCAAGTTGTCTTCCCCCTCAGCTGAGCCATTGCTAGTGGTGGAGCCCTCTTCCGCTCCTAGCACACTAAGAGGTGGCGGCGGGGGGCTAAGAAGTTTTGCCAACTTCAGCTGGGTGAATTCCTGGAGCCAAGGGCTAAGTGTTCCTTCTAAGTGTTCCCTCTAAGCTGAGTTAGTGAGAGCTAGCTCACATTTTTTTAGCCTCCAGCTCACACATTTTTGTCTTAGCTCACGAAGGATGGCTCCAGAGCAAAGTCATTTATGCAGTAGCCAAATCGCTCGATCACACCTTTAATGCCAGTAGCTCACTGAGTAGAATATTTGCTCACAAGTCTCAACAGCTTAGAGGGAGCATTGGCTTAACGATAGGAAGTCCGCCTTCTGAAGCTGCACTTTCCTTCAGAGGAACTGATCTCTGTGGTCTGCAGCGCGGCTGAAATTCCGGGAGAACTCCAGTCCCCACCTCCACCTGGGAGTTAGCAACCACCTGCCCCGACGCTCAACTCATACCAGGTCGTGGACCTGTACGACGGCCCTCTCCTACTGCGCCTGCGTAGTTCGAGGAAGGCGGGCCTCCTCTCCGTGACGACCCTCCGCACAGCACCAAGGAGGCGGGGTCTTGGCCTCCGACTGCCGCTAGCTCCTTTGTCCCGCCTTCCCGTCGCCTTGGAAGCACGCACGCGTCGCGACAACACTCGACAGAGGAACGAGTTCCGTCTGGAAAGTAGTCCGTTCCGGAGTTGTCGCGGCGTGGGCTTGCGGCGGAGCGGTTCCGATTTGTTTGACTGAGCGTACGCGTGGAAGTCTCCTTCCGCGCGGCGCCTGAGGGGCTGAGAGAGAGAGGGGGAAAGCCGCGCTCGGCGGCGGGAGCAGAGGCAGCCCGCGCGGAGCCATCCTCTCGGCCCGGCGGGATGTTCAAGAACACGTTCCAGAGCGGCTTCTTGTCCATACTCTACAGCATCGGGAGCAAGCCGCTGCAGATCTGGGACAAGAAGGTGGCCGGGGGGGTGGGGAGCCGCTGTCTCAGTCAGCTGGTTTGGGGAAGCGGGTTTCTAGCCCTCCTAAAGGGTGGGCGGGG